AAGACATGAACTCATCAAAAACTAGAAAACTGACCAGTCAGCAAGGGCCCCGCCGAGGGGTGAGAAATATAAGGGTGCAGCTTACAGAATGAGAATTTTGATTACAAAAATTAAAAAAAATGTGAAGAAGAATATGCAATAACAACTGTATTTATAAACTTTCAAGATAATTCCTAAATATCCAACAACCTGTAAAGAGTATCCCTGTATTTACATATTAAGGCAGTAAAAAACATCATACATAATGTAACATGTATCTATAATAACTCAATTAAATATATATTTAAACAAGAATAAAGCATGTGTTTTTTAAAATGCCAGCCTTCAGTGAATGCAAATATCACCCAGGCTTGACCTTAACTTCAAAACAAACATCAGTTGCAGACAAAGGTTAATTTATCTTAAAATGACAAATAAAGATAAGCCTGGAAAATTTTCTGCCCCAAACAAGATAATTAATCCCAGGGGATTAATTGGACTGCTCTCTCTCATCCTTTTCTTCCAAGTTTACTATAAGAACTTTTTCAGTAATGATAGAATGAGTTTATTATCAGACTATGTGATAAAATTTATAGTATTCTTGAATTTACATACAGAGGCAAAAAAAAAAAAAATGAATAAATAAATAAATAAAAACAGAATTTTTAAAAAAAAAACAACCCATATCTTTATGTAGATCTTGTTTTAGTGCAATGAAATCATAACTCATTGTGTATTTTACCAAAATAAAGTATGAATATTATTGAAATCCACATTTCAGAGAATGTAAACATCATTCAGAATTGACCTTAACTTCAAAACAAACTTCATTTGCAGACAGAGGTGTTAATTAATCTCAATTTGACAGAAACAGATAATGCTTTGGATTTTCTTCAAGAGGAAAGTTAATTAATCCCATGGGACTAGTTGCAGCTTTCATAGTTTACAATAGGAACATTCTCAGCAGTTATCTCTCTTTGCTCTGGCATTCATTCTAATGTCAAGTTAAGGAATCTACCCCACCACCCCAGCTCCAAACTGGATGACATAGAGAACCAAACTTAGCATCAAAATATGTCTTACTGCCTCTTCAACCAACATACCAAATTTGAACTTAATTGGTCAACTACAAAAAAAGTTATTAGAAAAAAACAGAAAATTTGTGGACGGAAGAATGACAGACGGACAGACAGACAGACAGACGGACAGATAGACAGAGTGATTACTATAGGGCACCCGCAAATCCTTGCGGGGCCCTAAATATACAGAATAATCCATATATCAGTTATTTTTCATGTACGTCAACATCACAACTTGAATTTATCCGCCATGTTTACTGACCTTGATTGATTTCATTTTGGGACAGCCAATGAGAACTCGAGATCTAGGGAATGGATCTATTTAGGAATTTCCTTATTTTAAGCATAAATATTACTGCTTGTGAAAAATATTTTATATGAAAATTAATGCTTTTACTCATCGATGTTTAGTGATACCTTACAACACAATATCTATCAACACCGACATTTACTTTATCAAGCCTTCTTAATTTCATGCGCAAGTCTCAGTACACATGGGAGAACTGTCATGGCAGCTGAGGAAGATGAATGGTAACCACGCAGATTTATTTTACCTTGTTTTAATGTTTCAAGGGCTAGGTTCTTGGTAATGAATAAAGAATTAATCTTATTTGAAGGAAGTTGGATGCAACATCAATTTATTTTGTGTGTATTCGTCAGTATTCAAAAGAATATATTTGCACCATTATGGAGATCCTGTGGAATTGTAGCCCTCTCCTGAAAACATCAGATAAAAATATCGGAGAGGGCTACATAATTGCAGCTAGACCCCAACACTTCACCAAATGGTCCAGATGTTCAAAAATCTGATAAAAATATACTTGCTTATGAAAACTTTTACTCTGTTTGCCTTTGATATGCCAAGGAGCAGAGAAGGCTTTAAAAGAAATAATGCATTTTAACTACAGATTCAACACAGCCCTACCTTAACACCAAAACCCAAGAGCCAGGGTCATGAATTTCACTAATCTGGAAGAGGTACCCTCTTCATCATAACTATACTCTTAGTTGAAGATTTTCAAAGAATTAACACATTTTCACTATATTATCAATAGACCCCCCCCCCCAACACACACACACACAAATACCCCTGACCCTGGGACCCAAAGTTTAAAAAAAAAATTGTAAGAAGCACCCTTGTTCATCATAACTATGAACTTTATCTGTTCAACACTAAGGAGCAGACAAGATTACTTAACAGAATTAATGCAATTTCACTATATTATCAATAGAGCCCCATCCTTATACCAAAACATCTGATCCAGTGGACATGAAACTCATAATTCTAAAAGAAGCACTCTTGCTCATCATAACTACACAGTTACTGTTTCTTTGCTTTTTAACCAGGAGCAGAAAAGAATATTTTTAAAGAAATTATGCTTTTCACTATATTATCAATACAGCCCCCCCCTCCTCCTTTCAGCAGAACCCCCAACCCAGAGGCCATGAATTTTTCACAATTTTGGAAAAGGCATTCTTGCTTATCACAACCATGCACTTAGTTTGTTTAAACAATAACCAAGGAGCAGAGAAGAAGATTTTCAAAGAGTTAATGCATTTTCGCTAAATAATCAATAGAGCCCTGCCTTAACACCAGAACCCCTGACACAGGGGCTATGAAATTCACAATTTTGGAAGAGGCACCCCCTCCTGATCATAACTATGTACTTAATCCATTGGTTTAATACCCAGTAGCAGAGGAGATGATTTTTAAATAATTAATGCATTTTCACTAAATAATCATTAGAGCCACACCCTAACACCAGAACCCCTGACCCAGAGACCATGAAATGCACAAGTTTGGAAGAGGCACCCTTCCTCATCATAACTATTCAGTGAATTCATCGGCTTAATACCCAGGAGCAGAGGAGAAGATTTTCAAGGAATTATTGCATTTTCACCGTATAATCATTAGAGCCCCTCCCTAACACCAGAACCCCTGACCAAGAGGCCATGACATTCACAAGTTCGGAAGAGGCATCCTTCCTCATCATAACTTTGTACTTAATTCATGGACTTAATACCAAGGAGCAGAGGAGAAGATTTTTCAAAGAATTAATGAATTTTCACCATATAATCATTAGAGTCTAGCAGAGGAAAAGATTTTTCAAAGAATTAATGAATTTTCACCATATAATCATTAGAGCTCTGCCCTAATACCAGAACCCCTGACCCAGGGGCCATGAAATTCACAATTTTAGAAGGGGAACCCTTGCACATCATAACTTTTTATTTACTTAGTTTGTTTAATACCCAGGAGAAGAGAAGATTTTCAAAGAATTAATGCACTTATATAGCCCTGCCCTAGCACCAGAACTACTGATCCAGGTGCCATGAATTTCAACAAGAGGACCATGGGCCACATCGCTCACCTGAGTTACTTTGGTCATGCTGTTCTTTACCAGATTTTCCCCCTTGTAATACCTACTGTGGCCTCGCCCTACCCCCGGGGTCATGATTTGAACAATTTAGAATCTACACTACACAAGGATGCTTCCACATAAGTTTCAGCTTTTCTGGTCCAGTGGTTCTTGAGAAGATGATTTTTAAATATTTTTCCTATATATTTCAATATAAAACATGAATTACCTATTGTGGCCTCGTCCTACCCCCGGGGGTCATGATTTGAACAATTTAGAATCTACACTACCCAAGGATGCTTCCACATAAGTTTCAGCTTTTCTGGTCCAGTGGTTCTTGAGAAGGAGATTTTAAAAGATTTTTCCTACATATTTCAATGTAAAACTTGGATTCCCCATTGTGGCTCCACCTACCCCCAGGGTTCCTGATTTGAACAATTTAGAATCTACTCTATCCCAGGATGCTTCCACATAAGTTTCAGCTTTTTTTGCCCAGTGGTTCTTGAGAAGAAGATTTTTTAATGACCCCACCCTATTTTTGTCTTTTCCTGATTATCTCCCCTTGTAAGGGGACTTGGCCCTGTACATTAATAATTTAAAATCCCCTTCACTCAAGAATACTTTGTACCAAGTTTGGTTAAAATTGGCCCAGTGGTTCTTGAGAAGAAGTTGAAAATGTGAAAAGTTTACAGATGGACGGACGACGGACAATGGGTGATCAGAAAAGCTCACTTGAGCTTTCAGCTCAGGTGAGCTAAAAATTCGGTAGAGGGCTCAATGCTTATTACAATCATGCTAACATTTTGACTACTTGATGTCCAAAAGTAAGAAAAAGATTTTTAAAGATTGCATTAATTTTGGTGGTTTAAGCTGCACCCCTCAAGCTCCAGGGGGGCAGGGACCATGAAATTCATAAATTTTGTTCCCCTTCACCCATAGATGCTACAGGCCAAAATTGGTTGAAATTGGTTCACCAGTTCCAGAGAAGATTGATTATTGTTGTTTTATGCTGAGTCAGCAATATTTCAGCCATATTTCGGCGGTGTTCCAGAGAAGAAGTTGAAAATGTTCAAATGTTAACACATAATGTATGACAAAAACGGATATCAAGTGACTCAGGTGAACTAAAAATGTAAACAAAATCATTCAGGGGCATGCACTGTAAACAAGACAAAAATTTTGATATTTTTACCAATTGACTAAGAAATAAACAGGATCTGGTATTTTTCCTTATCTAACCAGCAAAAATATAGTCTGAATGTGAAGAAGTAGTTGTGGGCATTTGTTTGGTCTTCAAAATCAGATAAGCCCAAAATTCATACTATCTTTCCTAAATTATCTACATATATATAGTGTACATTCAGTGTGCAGATTATTTCACCAGTTATATTTCTACATAAGTAACACAAACTTCTATTTTTGACATCTTACTATAGGAATCAATCTTCTTTTTAATATACATTACACATAGACGGACAAACATACACACTTTGACTTCTATAGGATACAATATCCTGTGGCTCATTAAGTAATTTCTTGTGATAAATAGATCCCTGATCATGGATATTTGACTCTTGTTTACCTTTGAGGGGGCTATGTATGAATCCTCCTCACTGTCACTATCCAACAGCTGGTAACTTTTATTTCTTTTCTGCATTTCCAAGGCTTGTCTTTCTTGAATACGAGAACTCTTCTCTGCTACCGCTTTCCTTGGCAACTGAAGTGAAGAAATAAAATTCAAATTGTGTCAGTAATAATGTCAGCTAGTATTCATCTCTTAGATTGATCAGTGACATTACCTCAATTAATTATGTGTCTATTACACAAGAGTTTTTCTCAGATTTTCTCACAATAAACAATATGACTAAAACTATGAAACCCTATTTATTTATAATTTTACATTTTGAATTTGAATATAAAAAACCAAGAAATTTTGAATTTGGTACCACTGAAACACATTCAGTCAGTTTTTTGTACTGTGGTGAAGTATGATTATTGATTTACACATCGGTGAATTAAAAAAAAAAGACCAAACACATATTTATCAACCTGCACTAAAAATATAGGCAATGGGAATAAATTTCTATGTCTCAGCATATGTCTTTAGATAGTGTCTAAATACCTGCCAAATATCTCATTAATATCTCAATTCACAAAAAAGTTATGCCCAAAATGGTGCTAAACATGTCAGGAGTGCAACACCTTTTTGTGACATTTTCAAAATTCAATATTTTTTGAAAATTTGTGAAATAAATAATAATGGTTTATGTTGGAAATAAAGACTTTCCTGATAATATTCAAAGTATTGAGCTTTAAATGTAGACTGTAGCAACTTTCGTTTGACCAAGTTGTGGTCATGGCTGATGTTGAAAAAAAAGTTATACCATGTCAGGAGTGCAACAGAAAAAATGTGTTGCCAAAAAAACATCAATTTTAAAAAAACTAAAGACAATTAGGTCATAAAAGAATTTTCAAAGTGTAAAACAATAACTGATATACAATTTAAAACTTCAAAATGTTATATTATAAATCACATGCAGCATTAATGAGAGTCGAGCAACTGTGCATACTCAATAATGTCAGAAGTGCAACATCTGATGTTTTGCTCCCTACATGAAAAAACTTTTATTAGTATATGATTCTCTGGTTTTTATTTTGGAAAATAAATAAGACACAAAGAACATTTTTACCAAATAGATTGAACAATTACAGGGTCTGTCTGTGTGTCAGATCTATATTTCTATGGTCAGGAGTGCAACACATTTTTGTTTAAGATTCAAGTAATACAGGTCTGGACGATTTCTAAACATGGAAGTCAAGAACGATAACCGTGAATTGCTATAAATACACAGAATAAACAAGGTGCTAATCCTTCTGACCAATTGGATAATGGCATTTAGACAAACTCATGAGAAAATAAATAAAACACATGGTTTTAAAGTTTTTTGCTCATATTGTTTAGAACAATTTAACTTTTTGTAAACTTTATGCACAGGTACGAATGATACAGTATATATGACAATTCTACCGTAAATAAACACGACTTGAAAGCTTAGAATAAATTCTAAGTGGGATTAAAAATCTGTCACTACGAGTAGCAATCCCAAAAGTTTAACTTGTGCTAAGAAATTTGATATAAATATGACAGATTTTCAGTTTTTAGAGCATGACATGAGAATGTTTTCATATGGGAATATAACAGTCTAAATTATTTCCCGAGTGTTAATCACAAAATCGTTCATGCAGTTTCTGGTATGTGAGGTAGGATATGGTGATAAGCATTCATGCACATTGCCTTTTCTCTCTGTTTTTCACCTTTTCTTATGTTCATTTAAAGTGCATGGTCGTAGGAACCAGAATACTATAGAAAACATATCTACTCTATGCTTGTGCCCCCTCAATAATAATGTTTGATGACCTTTTTTTTTTAACTTGTCAAGGAATTTTTGAATTTCCGGTAGTCCCCCCCTCCCCCCACCCAAAAAAACTTAAATTGCTTCCTATGAGCCTAAAGTGTATATAACATGGTATTCGGCGCTCATAACCCATGTTATTTCAAAACTACATGTAGTCTCAACAATGAATGCTTATGTGCAGTAGATTTATACACATGGAAACTATATGTTATCGATGAAAATTGGGCGGTTAAGCAAAATTATATTTACCAACATAGAGTATGTTCTGGTAAACATTATAATTGTACTTGATAATAGCTTAACGAAGTGATCTATTCCTCTGTAAACAATTGTTACATGCATTAATTTTTTTTTCCTTTTCCGAGATGAAAATGTCAAGTTTGTTCATGGTAAATATGTGGGGAATACCTTATTCTTCCAAACTTTTCATCTTACTTCTTAGTTCTAAAGATTTTTTGTCAAAAAATCTTTTTGAGGAAAAAAACTAAAGCACTTTTTCGCTTTTTGTTCCTTTGAAATATGTTTTGGGGTGTGTAAAAATGCTGTTGTCTGATTGGGCAGAAAAAAATTTACGTGTATATGATGCATATTTATAGCAACTTTCAGATATCATTCTTGACTTTCATATTTGGAAATCGTCCAGATCTGTTATATGATGAAAAGACTTCTATTCATGCTAAGAAATATTCTTTAATAAATACTGATTCATTTGAATAATTTAGTTCTAAATTATTGACAGTTTTATTATAAAAATCCTTCTTTTTTTCAATTTTATCAATTCAGATGTGTTTTTATCTTTTCTTTGATTTTTTTTTTTATGAATCTCAAAATTAAACACACTGAAAAATTGTTATTAAACAAGTAATTTCACTTCAATTTCACTGAAACAACAGAACAAGTTCTGATGTAATTTTCTCTTCACAATTCTACTTTAAAGACTCCCACGCTCTTGGTCAGGAGTGCAACAAATATGTTAGAATTATTGCTGATCAAATATGAATAAATATAAAGAAAAAAATTGATGAGTAGAATGTTTCTGGTTGACCTCAGTTGCTTACAGTGTTTGTCCTGTGAAGGAAAATATACTATAAAATATATTTTATCCTCTAAATATATATTTTAGCTAGTATTTTGATATAAAATTCAAGATATAAAGCCAAGTTTAAATACTTTCATGTATTTTAATTATGAAGTATTGGACTATAAATATTGCACAATTTTGTTACCATTTGATATTGCCAACACTTTATGAATTTTTGTGTTCTGTGGTTTTAAGTTTTAATTTTACTGCAGTCAGGAGTGCAACAGAACTATTTTGTAATTATCAATAATCTTCATCTATTTTTACTCAAAAATTAATTGAAAAAATGTTTGAAACTATTTGATGTTCAAAATATTATATGTCTATTAACTAATAACAGACATTTTACAGTCAATTCAGAGAATAGTTTTCATCACTTAACACATATTTTTTTTTTTTTAATACAATGTATATATATTACACATTGCAAATAACCATGTTTTGAAGTCTAGAAAATATGAAAAACTTGCCATAAATGATAAAAAATATCAAAATGACAAACTGATTTACAAACTAAGAATTGGGTTTTAAAACTATGTTAAATAAAATACATATCAGATGTCAGGAGCAATACAATAATGTAAAATAGGGTCACTTCAAAATCTAGTATTTTTGAAAGAAAACTTGTATATCAAAATTCTTTTTTGGCTTTGATTTATAGAATTGACTTAAATTGACAAAAAAGTGATTTTGGTGGAATTTTGTTGTTTCATATTTCTTTCATATTAAAACTTTTCAAACCAGAATTGAAAAAATAATGTAAAATTTAACAATCAAAAAGCAATTTTTTTTCCCCACATATACAAGAGAAGAAACTCAATCAAGGTTTAGATCTCATCCTTTATATCCCCAATACCATTTTGAAGCATTAAAACTATAATATTTTTTGATTATGTATTTTAGAAAGTCTTTTAGGATGTAGTGATATTTTCTTTTTTCAAATTACCACGGTAGAAGAAAAATATTTACGTGTATATGATGTTTATTTATGGGGACTTTCAGTTATTGTTCTTGACTTTCATTTGGAAATTGTCCAGATCTGTAATAAGACTTATTATCATCATATTTCCATTTCCAAGTTAATTCCTCCACCCTGTTAACTACAATAATATGATAAAATACACTATCTTGCACTGGACCTATGTGTAGAAAAATGCCTTGAAAAACAAATGAAACCAAAAACAAGCAGTGTATCCAGTAAAACAATGGTCATATTTATCTTCAGGGGTAACTCTATATTTTAAAATAAACTCCAAATCTTTATAATCATACAGGTGACATATCTGTCAAGTCAAACCTGGAGATTTAAAAATTTTCAGCTAGAGTTTTAGGCCAATAACTGGAGATTTTTTTATTGACATTTTCTAACACAGGTTTTTGCTGTTTTATGTTGAAATTAGACATCACGACTACCCTTTGCATTCAAAACATGTATTCACGCTATACTAGTATACATATATACACTACCTTACACGTCTGACTTACAAAAGTAAAAAAGAAAGAATATTGCATATTCATGTATATTTACTTATAAAAAATATAACAATGATTTATAACTTTCAACAAAAATACACACAGCCACCAGGCATGCTATCACATAAGAGCTATATGAACACAAGTGTTAGAGTCGCATGGTGCAGTGGTTAGAGCGTCTGCTCTAGAGTCACGGAGGCTGACTGTATTTTCTTCAGCACTGAAAAAAACTCTCTCTATGTCTGCATTGAAAAGAGGGAGGGTTAGCAAATTCTTGCTCAGATTATGTAGGAGCTGAGAGTGTTTTTGACTGCTCGGTAGTTTTAGTTATCCCAAGGAATTTCAATACTGGTTGAGTGCTGTGGCCTCTGGGTCAAATTTTGGAAGGTCAGATAAGGGAGTTAGAATATATTCTGCAGCTATATCTTCTTCTTTTCTCTTCCTGGCTGAAACTACAAAATCTCTCAGACAAACTGACCATGTCATCAGTAGATATTTTGTCTTTAGTGTTGGGATTCAGAAAATCAATTCCTTTGAGCATCTTGTCATTGGATGGGAATTTCTTCACCATTGTCTCTTTTGTTATTCAGTAGAACTCTCTTACTAAATATGAAGATAATGATCAGTATTCAATCTCGAAAGTCCAATGAAACACTACAAATTTGGAGCAGAGCAAACAAGGACCTCAAAATTTAGAGGTGGAGGAGTGAGCATCCCCTGCCGACTGACCGGTCACACCTGCCGTGT